CGGATATCCATGTGCTCTTTTTGTGAGCTGTGGGGCTAAATTGGGACCTTAACACGATGGAGTCCCGTTTTATCTTGAAGCGTGGCAGGCCATTCTCAGTGTGGTAGAACTCTAGCTCCATGCCACTCCGTTTCTGCCTATAGTTGCGGATGCATGGGTGTCAAATACACCAGACCAACGCAGTGTCGCTAGCAATTCTGATTTGTCACAGCTAATAGCGTTCATGTAAAATAATATATCGCTAAGGCGTCGCGTGCGCGCTTGGGCTTACACGGTGCGAGGGGCTTCCACAGAGGCCACTCCCAGGTAGTGCAACGCTTCCATCGTCACTGCTGCTCCTACTGCTACTGCTCGGCGCCCCGCGAAATGATTCAACCCCAAAAAGAGACAACTCAAAATAATCAGATAATATTCATATACTTCAGGAGACTCCAGAGCCAGCGAATGTTCCTGAAATCATAGAAATCCTGAAAAGTCCTTCTAAAGTACATTATGAGCCAGTGATCTGCTAGAACCATACGAAGATGCTCATCTAGATAGAGGCGGGATGGATTTTACGCCCAACCACTCGGCAAAGTGTTCTTTTCCGCATTGGATACCAGGACTCGTTTCGTTGCAAGGATGAGAAGACCAAGAAAAATTGTGACACATTGGAGATTCCGTAGCATGCTGCGAAAGAATTGCGTCTACTGCTACGCTTCTACCAATCATAGTCATGAAGAGATGACGCTTCCTAAAGGGTACTTATACCAGAGGCATTGTAAGGCGGCTGAAAAGCATTGGGATCCGTCCTGCGGCATCAGGTTCCGCTGTCCACTTCACAGAGTGCGTTGGCTCAACTATACCGGCCGACAGATCAGAGATCCAAGCAAATCGAGAAATTAAAAGCTAGTACCTAGAGGCGACTCTATGGAAGTTTGCAACGTCCTTATAGCTGCACACCTTGGATGCTTGAACTTTTCCCGGATCTGGCTCAATTTCTGCAGCTGAAGCACGGGATCTCAGGACCACAATCTTTCTTCTCAAAACCAAACATTAACGCTCCGAAGTGCACCCCCTTGATGCTATGGGTGCTCTTGAACCTTAGTTGAATGCCAAGACGTCGTTCATGTAGACGACCATCCATTACTCCTTAGCAATGTCATTAAAAATCCCTAGTAGCTTGCCGCTGTACTCAATCTAAGACGTTGGACCTTCTAGACAGACAATATTTAGGTGTACGCGAGTTTGCGAGTGTTTGCGTCAACACAATCCTAGGTATACTCTGGGTGACTCCAGTAAAGGCGCCTGTGCGGACATAGCTGCACGCTGTGGAGATCAGTGTGCCGGAAAAGCGTTAGGAAAAGGGATATTCTGGTGTTCTAAACGGCGTCCATTTGCTCGTTATTTGATAGGGATAGATCCGGTTCATCATTAGGATGCATGGGGATTCTTACGAAGGCACCTTTGAAGTCCAATGCCCAGAGGTCTATTGATGAATGTATGTTGTAAAATACTTTCAGTATGAAACATCGAACAATTCTTTACGGTAAGCTTGTTCAGGGGATTCAAGTTAATGCACACGCGCCAAATTTCGGCATTCTCGAAAATAAACAATGCGGTGGTCGCCTCTTCCACCTTTCTTTTCCAACAAATCACCTACCTGACGCTCAAGCTTCTTCTTCGTGCCATCGATAGCTTCATTCCAGCGAATCACGACTTGAAACTCACTTGGAGCTTTGGTTGATTCGTTAGGCAGCACGACCAGTAGGTAGCCAGCCTGGTAACTGCTCGCCATCATGTAATAGTGCATCCACGAACCTCCGTGAAAATTGCACATTCTATCTGCTCCTCGGTTAAAACTTCAATTAAGATTCTTGATCCATAAATTAGTTTTAAGGCAATTATTCTCTCTCATCACGCTTCGGAGTCGCCCCAAAGGAGACTTTGGCTTACCTTGCCCTGACATGCCGACTGGACACCGATTACCACAGGTGAAATGGGCATTGTTCAGGACACCACGATATTCTTTACTCTAGTACTTCCCGGGATAATGAGCTCCACAGCTCGCAAGTATGCGGACACGCGCGCCTTCCATGGGGTCCCCCATGGCGTATATATACTTATGTCACAGTGCACGGGTACAGCGTAGCAGTCCCTGCGGTGCTGGTAAAACTCATTCCCGATTAAAAGCGGCATATTGCTGTCAAGCCCTGACCAATCCCTACTCTCTGCTGCCCGTCAGCAATTGTGCGTCTTATGGACTACTCTAATGAGAGAACGGGCTATTTCCACTCTGTGCCGTCTCCTTGAACAACAGATACACTCCGCATCCAGTGCCAAGTAACGCTAGCAATCCATGGCCATTAATTTGAACATATATCAACGCAATATAGGCTACTAATGGATGTCCTACGGTGGCTCTATCTTTTGCAGCCCTTCTTCACTGCGCCGCAGTCTGGTTTAAGACCTCTTCGTGCCCCTGAAGAGCCTTTTGCACTTGCTGAGTAGCCAGCGTTTTTTGATCTCTCTCTCGCTATCCAGGTTCGTCTACTTTTGAACAAATACGTGCAGGTCTGCTTGCTTAACACGGCTCTCGTCCCCATAATAAAAGGTGGTTGGTGTTGTTGAGATGCTATAGAAGGTTGCGTAGGAGTGGTGCTCTCCCTGGCTTTCGTTTATCTTCCACCTTATACTGTACGCCTGGCAGAGCTGACAAGAACCCCATACCTGTAGGCTCTACACTACAATGGCGCTCGCCCGTTCCAGCCAAATGCGCAGGAATGGCGCCCATTTTCTCCTAAATGCTCAAAAATTTACTATTTGCAGATGCCCACTGACTGTTTGTTTAACAGCTTATTTGTTGCCCTCCCTGCGATTGCCCGAATCGACACTTCGGCTAGACCTAAGCTAAAACAGTATAACAGTAAATAGTGGTTTGCGTTGTGGGTTCCGCGAACCAAAGCTTCATAATGCTTATCATACCGGTCCACTGGTAGATTGTCTTATGCTTTCTCAAATCTGTTAAAGCTTGCTGGTGAGTGGGTTTGAGCGTAGGCTGGTAACACAGATATGAAGGTTTGAACTGTATAAATCCCTGTTAGACACAACAACCCCTCGCTTAATAACGCCAACATTAAAATGTTTCTCCTTATAATACATTTGCTTCAGCAAGCACTCGTTGGCAACTCCAGCTACGGGGTACAAGGCGAGGTACATCTGTACCCAGCAGACAAACCTCGGGGTACATGCCACCCCAACAGAGATTGTACGTTCTGGGTTTGTGTGACCTCATTTATTGGCTGGTAGGTCTTGTCTTTGCACGAGTCGTAATGCTACTGCTTGCACATCAGCTGACAAGCTGGCCCCCGCCACCCCAGCAGACATTATGCCGCCTTCAATCTCCGTTTCCAGAAGGTCTGTTTCGGCCTGTCGTCGACGAATCTTAAATTGTGGAATATCCAAAAAAACCTAGGACAAAACGGAACAGCAGGTATAGCGAAAACCGACATACCGCTACATCCACAGCCAATAAGCGAGCAGAAACAGATACATTAAACCATGTGGTCCTCCCAAAAGGAACGCTCAAAGTTAGATCTTTCCAAGAAGGCGCTTAATTGCAGACCCAACGCAAAATTTGATAGATTATTGAGTGCTTCCCTAAAGGACCCCCAGGTTTTCCTCCAATTGCTCCTCACAGCCCCCCCAAAAGAGTAGAGAGGGATAGCTAGGGTTTATGATGCTGCGCCCACTGAGCATTTGGACACTCAAAGCTAGTTGCACATAGCATCTAGTACGGATGTACACAACATTTCGCCTTCTTGTAACGAGCTAACCGTATTGTGCAATATAAAAGGTATGCGCACACACAAGCAAAGTTCCAGTCCCTGAATAACTCTAAGGTGAATCGTTCTAGTGCAGTAAAAAGTGTTTAACTGCACGTCTGTCGATTTTTCTCGCCCTGAGGAGACTTTGGATGGAGCTCAACTGCACAGAAACACTTGTTGGAGTAGCGCTGAGCCTGTCCTTGCTGCAAAGCCGAAAGACAGACACTGCGATTGACCTACAGAGCGTGCACATGAGCGCTATAATATGTAGACCAAAATATCCAGCATTACTGTCGAGCTGCTCGCATGCCCTGTAGTACTGTATGATCTCGTCTTCCGGCACAAGAGAATGCAGAATGGACTAGCACATGGAGTGATACCCGCCTATAGAAAGTATGCCTGTCTCAAATATGCATCAACCTTTATTTTTTTAAAGCAGTGGTGCCAACAAAAAGACGATATGTGGGCGTTGTAGACCGCTCTGCAGAATCGACGCGGCCCAGCAACCGCAAGGAGAAAGCGGCAGCAGCGGCGGTGGCAGCCGTCACTGCCCTCCTCAATGATACTGGTGTCTAGCCGGAACAAGCTTCCTTCAGAGAAAGACCATTGAAATCTGACGTTTCTGTCCGTCGCCTTGCATCCAGCCAAAGTTGCAGAGTCTCTTCCTTCCCCAGCGTGGGACTTGCTCTTCTGTATTCAATGTTTCCAGCAATCGTGGTCGTATCCACGAAGAAATTGAAAGTACTCTTTTATTCAGCTGCCGCTGTACTCCAAGTCCGAGCATCTAGTATTTCAAGGAAAGTAAATAAACAATATCTTGTACTTGTGTGAGAATATCGCTGTGCGACCAGCACCGGTTTAGGACCGATCTGCACTCGCGCGTAAGCATTTGACGGTGGAGATCCGAGTTTAGATGCCATCGTCTGGCATAATTCAGGGCTAAGCATATGCATTGACTCATCATGCATTTCCTGGAAGCCGAAGTGGATGCCCTACTCACGTAGTGCAGCGGCCGGTGATTTCCAGGTGTAGCAACAGTTCTACTTCAAGTGACTTTTTGCAGCACCACACTATGCTGCAGCTAATAGCTCCATTGACTTGCACTTCTCGATGCGCTCACTAAGTATTGGTAGAAATCTCGAAGAACCGACAGTCGTAGCTTCCGTACAGCAATCTGCATAGGTATACGCTGTCATGCTCTTCTCAAGGCGCAGGCATGCGGCCCGCAGTGCCCAAGAATGTGCATTCCTTCCATCATCTCCAATTGACGAGGCAGCTCATTCCAATGCAGCTGTCAGCAGGTGCGTCAGTTCAGCCGTTCAGCAGGCACAAAGGCCGCAAGCCTGCAGGGGCGACTCTCAGCACGACGGCATGTTATCTACAAGAGCCCGCAGTGAAGAATATGCAAACAACAGTGATACTTCCTTGCCCTCTGACGCAAGTGCCTATGCCCCCTCCGATCCGGATATATCATCAACCGGCTCTGACGGTGCAACCGCTTCTTCAAGGCACCCGCTTCCTTCTAGGTGTTTTTCAGTGCCAGGACATGCTGCGCACTGTTCATATAAATCTCTTCGTGAGTTTCAAATGTCTCAAGGCGTTTGCTGTCTCCTCAACGACTCGTGTTCCTCCTGCGCAGTTCCTGGCGTTGGACAGGATGTGGGGCTCGTAGAAGCACAAGGGGTAGCCGATGATCATGTGGCAACGAAGCTCTCGCGGGGATTTTGTGGTGCTCAATCTACGAGGCTGTACTTAAGCAGGTTCATCGGATGGTTTGTTAAGTGGTTCGAAGGATCCGCGTTGCTGAAAGGCTGCAACAAGCTGGTATGCAAGACTCTGCATGCGGTGTTGCTGTTCGTGATCCGACTCCAGCGCCAGCAGCTGCTACGTCGTTTCTGTCCGGACCTGACGGAAAGGTACACGCACGTTCTCAGTGCAGGACGGCTGCGTGCAGAGAGATGCAGTGTACGTACAGCCGACGGTCATGAGATACATTTTTACCGACTCCGTAAAGTGACGCGCTGCTGCTGCTGTAGGGACTGTGCTTGTGAGGAGGATGCAAACCATTCGGAGTTCACGGGTGAAACAGCAGCCATTGCCAGTTCATCTACTGCGCAAGTAGATACGTCAGCGGTTCTGTTTGCAGAAGCCGATGCAGTCCCGTTGGACGAATGCAGCAGCAGTGGTGCTGAAAGCAACTGCATCGACACCGATTGCAGGGGGCAGGTGTTTTTTTTCGTTCACGGTCTGTTAGAGTCATCGCTCAACTGGATAAGTGGGGGCGACCTGTCTCTGCCGTTCCTTGTAGCCACGAGAGGGGGTGAGGTGTGGCTCGCAAATAGCCGAGGCAACGAGTACACCCGGAAAGTGGCCCCACCTCCCCACAAGCGACTTCATGCGCAGCAGCAGCACGCAGGTGGTTTCACCCGATTGCACCCAAATATGCAGCAAGACGCTTCGGAGCAAGGTCGGTGGGAGGCGCAAGGCGGCTTCTCGCTGTCTACGTTGCATGCATTCATCGCTGAAGAAAAGCGAAAGGTCCAAAACAACAGGCACCATCTACGTCAACCCTCCAGCAGCAAGACTCAGCACACGCCGCAGCACCAGCCGGGAAATCAGGAGCTGCCGCATGCGTCTAGCGAGGAGGAGTGCTGTTCTCTCTTCTGCTGTCGTTGCAGTGGACTCTCGTCGGTGCCACGACTTCAAGGGAAGCCTCAGGAAGCCCAACAGCAGATTCTGAGGCGCGCATGCAGGGAAGCCTCAGAGCTGCTGTTCTGGCTACACTGGAGCCGGAGAAAACAATGGAATGCTGCAGTACGTGAAGCTGCCGAGCAGCCGCAGCAGCACGACACGCGGGGGGACGAACCTCCTCATGGCGCTCCTGATTTGACATCCGGAAAAGAGGCCACTCCTAACAGTGCCAAGGGCGGCTCAAGTCCGACATGCAGAGCACCGGAGCAAGCAGTCGACGCAAACATGGAAGGAGCTGCCACGTCTTCATCCGATGAATGCTCTTCGTCTACTCTACACAGCTGCAACGGGCTCAAAGCGTCAGAAGCTGAAGGCACTGCCGTGTCCAAGGCTGCTTTTTTGTCGAGCAGCGCATGCAGCAGACCGCCAAGCAGCTGCAACTTCATCAGAGAACGGCCTCAGACGCCGCCGGAAAGACGTGTGGCTTTGCCGAGTGCCGTCGATATCCCGCAATTAGAAGAGAAGGCCCCTACTGACAGGAAATGCGACGAAGACACTGCATGCACGTGCTGCAGCAGGCCGCGTGGTGAAGGCAGCTTCGCCACCAGCAGCTGCAAAAGCGGCAGCCGAAGGAACAAAGTCCAGAGGATCTATAGGGGCCGATGCAGCGCCACACCTCCCTTGAAATTTTCAAAGGACCTTGCTGAAGGCTCCTGGTCTTTTCATGAGATGGCCATGTATGACTGCGCCGCTCAGATGCAGTACATAGCGATCAACTCGCCGACACTCCATCGGCGAAGGGCTGCTATGCTGGCAGCTCCTGCTGCCTTCACAACCTGCAACAACGAGGATGCAGAATGTAGGGCGTTTGGATGCGGTATAGTGGCCATAGGCCAGTCCCAGGGGGCTGCTCAGCTGCTAGCTGCCCTCTCAACGTGTCCATCGCTGTCTTTGCTGGCTTGTCGGCTGGTGTTGTTCTCGCCACCGTTGATCTTGCAGCCGCTGCATCAGCTGCCGTATGTCGCTTTAGTGTTGTTACGTCTTGGCTCACGCCACCCCACGCTTCTTCTCAAGATCTTGCGCTTCGTTGTGCACGTTGTGCCGGAAAAATTCTTGGCTGCCGTGGGAAACGCTGTCGTGGGATGTGGAATGCCCGGCAGCATGCGATTTTACAGCACCCCCCTACAGCACAAGCAACTCGTTCTCAATTTCACGTGTACTCCCTCAGGTAAGCCACAGGATTTTCTTCATAAACTTTGCGCCGGTATGCCTTATGTTGGTTCGAGAGCTGTATGGCCGAAACTAATAAAATTTCAAAATTGCTTTGGTGGTGGCGTGGGGGTGGGCTGTCGACGCAGCAACCGAGAGTTGCACGAAACACCAGAATTAGCCGAAGTTTTTGTAGGTTTTGTAGCGTTGCATCTGCTCTTAACTTTTGTGTCGTGATTGTTTCCCTAGGGGGCACGTCTAGGCGGAATTTCGAACATTGGCTGCAGCAGCTGACGAGGCCCAAGCCTCTGTCAACACTTGTCTCTCCACGGAATAGCTCAAGTGTCACTTCCTTGCCTGTACAATACGAAGCAAGGGCTTTGGGGCAGAAAAGTGCTTTTCTGAATGACCAAACGGCTCAGTCAGATCGCCAGGGGTTCCGCCAACCCACGTTTTTAGAGGCTACGCAGCCATCGCTGCCAGATTTGACAGAACCTCATGGTCGGTATCCCTTGGAAAGGATCAGCAGCGAAGTGTATGCGTTCTTAGGCTCACAGGACAACCTAGTTTCTGCAGGTGAGTGCATCTCGCAGTTGAGATCCTAAGGGGCATCTGTGGCATTGAAGCTAGCATATTCCGTTGTTTACTGCCCTGCCGTCTGTACTAGTTGCACTCCATCCATTGGGCCTTTTCAAAGAAGGGGAATCGCAACGTTCCCCCAAATATCGACTGATTGCGCTTGCAGGCTCCAGCGCGGCATACCTCGAGAGCTGCATTCCAAAAGAACGGCTGCACTTGTACGTCGTCAGCGGTCTTGGTCATCTGGATTTTGGGTGGGGAAGGGACCGAGCTAGAGACTTGTATCCTCATCTGCTCGCGCGTGTATCTAAATGCAATGTATCGTGTTGCCCATGCCGAAACGAGACTTGAGCTTATGTTTAGGGTGCCGTACAGAGGTACAGTCCCACTGTGTGTGCCGTGGCTTCATCGTGACATGAGGAAAATAACGGATAAGCTCCCTTTGATTCCCTGCTTGGATCAAAATACTGTTTATTCTCGTTTTCCTCGTCTTCTTGTAAAACTAAGTAAGAAAATACATTTCGAGCTTTTGTGCTCTAAAGTTCGTCTTTCGACGCCTCCAACTGGCTTGAATAATTGACTTAGCTAGGGAGGTCGCTCACTTTTCGCCTCCTACACTAAAGGCTTCGGAGTAGCAGTGTGGGTTTCAATATCTTTTTAAGGCATTCTATAACGACCGTGCAGCAGTTTCGTGTGATCCCGCATATCCTTTTAGTCGTTTAGCCCACAGGGAGCCAGATACTTTATTGGCTACACGGCCCACGTTTAATCAGTATACATCATGCTGTACACAAAAGCGCCCAGGCATCTTTGCATAAACCTATTAGGCTCACGCACATAACCCACCTTGCACAGTTCGCTGTCTGCTGGCTGAAGCCACCTTGCACCTGACAGTCATTGCTAACGCGATGGTCATATCCACGCAGAATCCTCCAAAAGTACTGAACAAATTATTAGACAAGTACTCTCAGGGCATCGTGAAAGTATTTACATGAAGGAAGTAGTCATGGAAAAGCCGTGGTACAGAGGATTGTATTTCTACAGAAGCACAAATTACTTTCCCACCAGAGCAGCTTGCTCACTTCTACAAGACTCGAAAAGCTAAGGAAATGAGTGTCACAGGGTTTGTCGGCTGCTTGCCTTCACAGTACAACAAACCTTTGTGTAAACACTAAGCCCAAGGTTGAAAGAGACGCTTTAACCGAATTAGAGGGAATTCGTTGGCTTGCAACCACCACGACTAGAATGGTTTAGAAGATCTAAACGCCCTTCCGTCATTTTTTACTGGGAATGGCCATGATTTTTGATACCTACTTTAAAAGTTACGGTGTCTCCCTCCGGCAGTAAATCCTCTCGGTAGGTTCTTGTATACACAAGAGATGTGGTTATACGCTTTATCAACGCATTGCCAGCAGGGCATACGTTGCGTGCCTTGCAGGATCCGCTGGGTATCAGGAGATGGTGTGTGCTTTACAATCTACTCTTGCATGGGTTCAGATTTGGCTAAAATTGTAATAATAAATTTATCTGTTTCCGCATTCTTGGATGCCCGATTCCGGGCCTCTTTAGAGGTGTAATACGCTGTTCTTATCGTAGAGGCTCATGCGAAGATTATTTGTGTAATGTGGAAACCAGTGAGAGCAAATTTAAGCAATTTCCTCGGGCCTCACAAGCAGCATGACCGCGCCGCCACGTGTCTATGCTTTTTCATGGGCTAAGGGCCTACCTTTTCCCGCATGTAAGCATATGCACACCCACAATCATTGCATTGGCATATATGCACACTAGCAATAAGATGTACCAACTGACCTCGGGTGTTCATGATTTTATTGAATATGCCGATGCCTATGCTCAATCTTGTAAATTACAGTATTTGCAGTAGTGTCTCACTCTTGTGCTTATCTAAACCGAATAACTCAAACCGGGTTTTACGCCTGTCGCAATATCCAGCATCATTGCTTCGCTCATCCTGATATTTTTGTCTAATCACCAATAGTAGGCAGTGTTTCTGATTCTTGAGATAATAAAAAGGATCTACGGCTAAATAGTACCCTCAGCAGAGGCCGTGGTTGTAGGCTGCAGCAGGATAGGCTGAAGTTAAACACCTTTTATTGACCCAGATGTATGAAATATGGACTACAAAAGTATTGACCATTTAGTTTGCAGGTTCGTATACTTTATATATTGCAGAATAAACTATGTTAAATACAGGACGACCAAACGCTGCGTGAGCGCGTCATAGATGCGATTTTGGAACTAGCAACTAGCTGTAAATGATTTGACTGTTCAGAGGGTGCAGCTACGCGCAAGTAGCTGCTTACCCTATGTCAGGAACTCTGAAAGGCGCTTTCGTCGGAGGAGAAACGAGAGGTTCTGAGAAAATGGACAATTTTTCATCAAGTCTGGAGCTGATTCTCTCCCTACGGAGACCTTACATGGCTCATTGCAGGTGGCAGCATCCGGTGGTTCGATGCAGCTGTTCCACTTTCATTCACTGGCTGTAGATGTAATGAAGCGCCATGTTGCCGTAAGGAAATTGTCTGATATTCAAGGAGTTCTGCGGTAGTTGATTAACTTGATTTTCGTTCGTATCAGGCTAGAAGTTTACTCTGTCTACTGATATTGACGGAAGTAAAATGCCTGGCGGAGCGGGACAGGCTGACAAGAAAGCTGATGTGAACACAGTAGCTTTACAACTGGTGGGAAGACCTGATTCGTGACAAAACAGTGAAAGACTATCACATCGAGGGTGACCTGCTCTGACTAAAAGCAAAACCATGGCTCCCGCAATTGTACATCCCGAGTTCGCAAAGCAAGGTCATTTCTTTTCGAAGCATGTGGCCTTGATCTCCTTGGCACTAATGAGCGTTTCGTAGTAGATGAGTACTGTCATGGCTTAGTTCTCACAAGCTGAAGCAGCGCAGTATCCTAAGCCTGATCTTTTGCACAGCGTTCCGATTCGCGTGAATTTTAGCATGTTCCGGCTTTAAACCTTATTGGATTGCGGGTTGGAAGCCAATTGTCAGTATAGCAACTACCTCAGTGTTGACAGACAGCCAGTTTGATCAGTTCATGCTTGTACCAGCTCTGTGATGGCACAGGAGATCTCTCAATTACCTTTAACTAATATCTAGGAGCTTCACGAGTTTCCTTGTGTGTCATTACGGATTAGTATTCAAATTTCGTTACCGCTTTCTGGTGTACCTTTATTACCTGCCTTGTCACTGACCGTAATGTGACCATTGCGATCCACCCTGAGGCAAGCAGACAGACACAGCATATATACAGCGTTCTTCCGCAGAAGCCTCAACCCAGTAGCTGCACAAATCGTACTGATTGGCTGGATTTTCTTTCTTGTCTTAAGTGGATTTTCCATACAATCATAGAGCCGTGTACCTGTTGCTCTGTCGCATTCCTGGTCTACACTGAGGAACCCCTCTCCGATCCGCGGCTGTGCTCCAGAGTCAGCATCCACATCGACGGCTAGCAGCGGAGGGATTCAGAGGAGAGCTGGCTAGTGTAGGCAAATGTACGCTCAAGGTTCAAAGAGGCAAATACGGAATAATGATGGGCAGAGGCCAGCCATGCGCTTTGAGCGTGTAAATCTACTCCTGCAGGATCCACCAGCTTTCAAAGTGGCTTAGAAGTTGACCAGACGAACAAATTTACGGCCAGATGGCTAGGATTAGCATCCATCCTCCCACAAATCAATTCTCTTTTTCCCTATTCTCTCACAACTGATGGATACCACAGGACTGATAGTATTGGCCTCCTCGAAACGTCTCAAGCCTTATGAACTTATTCAAGGACTTTGGCGCACAGGGACTTGACCCTTGCGGAGGTGGAGGGGTCAGAGGTGTGTAAATGATGGTGCTTGCTGGTGAACTGTTGTTGGGAATGCCAGCTTTAGTGATTATCGGAGGTCAGGCTTGGCTGCCTGCGATGGAATGCAAAACTCTGCTTTGTTGACAACGGTAGTATTCATTAACGGACTCCCACTAGTTCTTGATCATTTCCTTCGTCAGTCCACGGTCTGCCTGATTGTCTACCTTCATCAATAAGTATTGCCTAAAAAGATTCGGCTTAGGTTTATAAAGGCGGAAACTACACTCAGATCGATTCGTATTCACTCTCAGGTATGCTGCCCCACAAGTCTTCCTTTTGCATGATTTCTTGGGCTTCCAAATAAACTATGCTGCATGATCCCGCAGTAATGGCAGGCAGGCAATGATTTATGGGAGGCGGAAGCATTGCTGAACAATGGTTTGTTTTGATTCTGTGTACGCATGTTACTTTGTTTTTTCTCGTGCCAGATGCTCTCACATGTCAACGCTTAGCCGGTAGCGAGCCAAGGCACTGCCGCAGGCGTGCTGGTTTGGTCGCCTGTTTATGCTATCATGCGCACAGTTTTTGCGCTTCTGCCTGACTTAAAAGTGGCGATAGGGGGGGAACACTCCTGCTGTCCGACATGCAGCTGGTCTCTACATTCGAGTAAGGAACACTTGAGCGTGTGTTTTCAAGTCGGGACTAAGATATTACGGGGTAAATTGCACTTGAAAATTTGCTGCTGCACCAGCTCTGCTTGCCTCAAAGTTCGGAAATGACCATTTGGTTTGTCTGGTCGTATATCTTAGTTAGGTTTCCTGCAGTGTGCTATCAGTCGATAGAGAAAGGCGCAATAATGTGTGCGTGTGCCTCAGATGCTCCATGCAACTAGCTGTGAATGCTTTGAGTGCTTTGAGGGTACAGCTGCACAACAAACAAAAACTGTGTGCAGCTCTTCAGCCTTTCTGTCCTTCTCTCGTTGGAAACTGAAACAGTCGCCGGAAGGAGAAGGGCGGAGTTCTTTTGAGATCTGCTTAATAACCTGTGTGAGCTTTGTATCAAGTCTCTAGTAAAGTGTGCTCCTACGGTGACCTTAGATGGAGTGGTACACCGCAGCTCCATTCATATGGGCAAACTGTGATCTACAGAGCGGTCCTGACTTCATTTTTCTGTGGTTGCTTATCCCCCGAGCAGATATGAAAAATCAAGTGTCTCTAGCACGTGCGTTGCTAGCATTTTAACAGCGTAAAAACAAAGGAGATTTTCGGGACTACAAAGCCTCACAGGCAAGATGATGCATAACAAGGCCGAACTGCTTGCAAAAGCTCAGTTCCCGCAAAAGGTCTCGGAATTCTGACCCTCATTTATTGGTCTTCGTGATGCCATACACCTCTATTTATGGACGTTTACAGCTTTATAGGCCTATTTCATTGCGACGTGCAAATCTTCTTGTCTTTGTAGTCACAATACAAATACTCGTTGCAATAGACGACAATAAATAAATCATACCAGAAACTTTGTTATTG